TTACTGCTGTACTAATCTAAAACCCAAACAATTTTGCAGTTCCCTAGGTTTTAAGTGGTTGTTACTGCAAAAGCAAATGATGAGGAAGTTCCACTTCACTGCCAGTTTTGGAAAACTGTTAGAAAGTCTTTTTTTCCTTTCTAATGCATTTGATCTTGTATCTCTCTACCCACAGGAGGACTTGCATCCCATAGGATGGATAATTAACTACATTTTAGGTACATATATGACCAACTGCTATAATACTTTTTTTTTTTTTGTAACTCTGTTGTACTTAAAAAAAAATAATTCCTTTTAAGTTTTCACTGGTAAAGAACCTGTTTTAAAAGCTGTGTTTATTTTCCTCTACAATGAAGTGGCAGTAATAACAGACAAGCAACTGTCACTTTTTATGCAGGTATTTTTAAGCACTGTCACAATAATTTCTAAGCAGACAAAGTAATGTATATGTTTAGTTACCAGGAGCCCAACAAGATACTCTTCACACTCAATACGTTGATTTTCTAGCTTAAATAGTCAAATATGTATTTCTTGCATGAGTGGGAATTCTATGTTGTGAGAAGATGCCACAGGAAATATATGTGACATTAACATCACATGTTCCCTGGGATTCCAGGGTCAACAATATGGAAAATCAGATGATTAGTCTCAAAAACTGCACATCCAGTATCTATGCCAATATCAGAACACAAAGTAATAAATGTAATCTACAAGCTGGTTTGTCAAAGTTTTAAGATTTCAGTTTAAAGCTGAAATTCTGGCCAGCAAGTTCTACCTCATAAAATCACTTTATTAATAATCAATGTCACATTAGGATGACTACCCAATAACTTGCTAAAAGACAAACACAACTGTGGGGCAACTACAGAGTTAAAAGCAGCACAAAAAAAAATCCCCCCCCCAACCAAACTCTGCTAATCCTTTTGAAAATATTCAAAGTAACACTACCAAGGAGTTACATACAAGAAAGAATGAGCCTCATATTTTAAAAATAGAAAGCAAATTTAGAGATATATATATACTGGTGAGGTTGGGGTGGGTTTTGGTTTTTGGTGGGTTTTTTTCCTTTCCACAGTATAAAGTACATCCTTGTCTTTTCCTGCAGCTTTTTTTTTTTTTTAATAAAGATCAGCATTTGAAAGCAATTTATACTGAAACAAACCTGAAGCCCTTTTTATAAATATCCATTCTAAATTCCCATTGCAGAAAAGCTGACAAGTGTAAATATAATCGAATTGAAACATTAGCCACAGGTTATGTGCTTCCAAGGGCCTCCTCGATGTAATTAGTGCACATGTTCTTTGAAAACACTATCTGATTTGTGTCAACCACATCCATAGGGAGGACTCAAACTTAGGTAGTGAAAAAAGAGATTGTTGTGATGATGATGGACACCAGCATCACTTAAGTGCTGCAATGGAACGTCTTTTCTGGAATGCGCTTTGGTTTTGATTTTTTTTTTAAACCAGGATCACATTCAAAGTTTATTACCTCTGTTCAAGATTCACTATTCATCCACCAATTTTTCAGAGCGTCCTACATAAAAAACCTCAAACAAAGCAATGTCTGAAGTCCAAAGCTCTTCACAATGAGCTGCTCGGGTACAACATTCCTCACTGACATCTCTGAAGCAAAAGAGTAATTAGCAAAGAAAAGTAGCGTCTTGAATCTGTTATTTATAGTAAGGAAAATGAATTTACATTCAGTACTAGCATTAAAGTAGTAATAATGTATGCTTCATAAATAAACTCTTAAATATAACTGTCAGTTTTAATAATCAAATGTGTGCTTGGAACCACAGAGTACATACCAAAATAGTGAAGTGGGTTTCAGTAATTATATAACAACCTAAGGGAACAGAAATTCAGTATTTCTTATCTTTACAATGTAGGCTGTTTTGAGCATTTAGAAAACAGTCCATCCATTTATTTAAGAAAAAAACAACAAACCAACACCAAACCACATCTTCAGCACCACTGTCCAATTTGTTTTTAAGAGGAAAGTCAGTGGATATACTTTCATGCTCGAGGATATGCTACTGAAAGAGACGTATGTTATCTTATTGCAAAAATAAGAATGAGATCCTAGCTCACAATTAAGGGACTTCAGTGTTGTAGCTGGAGATCTTTTGCTTGGAAAAAAGCTAAAAAGGTTCAGTACAAGAGCTGTTACTAAAATGAACATTAGCCAATTTCAATTTACACATCCCTGTTCTCCAGGCGTGGTTTAGAACAAGCACCATCTATTTGACTGTTCAATATTCAGCAGGCATCTGCCAACCAGGTCTTGCACAAAATAGCCACAAATGTTACCTTCTGCTCAGCAAAGTCAGCTCAGTTCTCACTTTAAACTATTAAGAGATCCTTGCCAGTGTTGTCCCCGACAATATTCTCAGATCTCAAAAATGAAATATTTAAAGATTTAATGAAAGCTAATTACTGAACTGCTATACTCAGCAGAAAATTTAAATTCAGTTCAGCAAAACGTTTGGCATGGAAAAATAAACTACAGGAACAAGTTAGCGCTCTGTCACAGTGTAACAGACCTGCCATTCATTCAGTCAGAGTTGTGGTGAATATTTCCATTAAAAAACTTGTTTATCAAGAATTTATTATGGGAGTTATTGAGCAGCTACACCTCAAACTGACTTGGCAGACAAAATTCTCTAAATTCAAAGAGCTTTTCTATTACTTAAAAAAAAAAAAAAAAAAGGAAAAAGGGAAAAACTGTTGCATCCCTTCACAAACACAAGATGGCTTTCAAAAGCGTACTTTCTACTCTTAATTCCCACAATCAGATATAACTCCCCACCAGGTAAGTCTTCCCAATGTTCGGTCCATTTTCCAATTTCTGTGTTTCAACCCGCAAGTCACACTTTTGTTTTTGACTGCCTCAGCAAGCATCCTTGAAATATCAGGAAACTTCATTGCTCCACCTGACCTTCACCTACCAAAATCTGCTGCTGCTGAAGTTCAGCAGACAAAAAACCCAAGTCCCCAACAATTTGAAATTACGACATCTGTAGCCCCAATCAGCCACTGACTTCAGAAAGGCAAAATACTGCATCTTTGCGGACACTGTGGCAATAGAAGCTAAAATATAATAAACTTTGAAATGGCTTACAATGATAGCTCCAACAATGTTAAACTTAAGTCTGAACAGGTAGCTTCATTCTAATTGGTGGCCTTCCTTTGAGGAAGCAACAGAATACAAGATGTTCCCTTTCTTCTAAAACTAAAATGCATTTCTTCAATAAACAGAAATAACAACAACAACAACAAAATCATAGCATCCTCTACTGCTGGGGCTGTTCTTAACACAGCAGGTAGACGTAACTACCTTAAGCCGAGCTACAGTTTTCCAGGGCACAATAATGAACACTATCTTCCCACCTTCTGCACAGATAATTAGTACTTACTGGTTCCCCCAGTTCCCTTACCATTGAGGTAATACATATCAAAAAATATTTTCTTCAGACCTGTGCATGCCATTTTTTAAGTAACAGTGCTGACCTATGACACTTGCTAGCAATGCTTTCCAAAATTGCCATTCTGCATTTGACTCATCTTAATCCACCCAAGATCAACATTTGCTGCTTACAGTTACCCTATTCATAATGTAGATGCATATAATTCTTTTAAAAAAAAACAAAAACACATAAATTGGACAACATTTACTTAATAACTCTGAAAAGGAAAATTTGATCAAAAAGAAATCAATTAATTCATACATCTGAGTTGAAAAATATGTATTTTTTTAAACTATTGGCACAGGATAAAAAAAGATTCTGCCTTTAATCCAAGGAGGTATGGCAGTCATATTCCTCAACACATGCATCTTGGAAAGCTAACTAAGAAAGTCTTTTAAAGCATAGCCATCAACTGAGAGAGTAATTTGACATCTCAAACGACAAACTTGAGTTTCATAGGTCAGACTAGTTTGGAACAACATAGTAACAAGGAAACTACTGATCCTCACCGTTGCGCTTAAGCCAAGGTGAAGACTTAGCCTTTGATTATGTACCAAGGCACAGAAGTTGACTAATTAGATTCAGTTCAGGACTGCAAAAAGGGCTGCTTCACAAGAAAAGCATCCAGTCAAACTGATCCAAAGAAATTTTGCTCTACCAGACTATAGTTACTGGCCTCAAAAGAACACATAAGGTATGCGAAGAAAGGAGAGAAGGAATCCACTAACATAGCAACACTTAAACAGACACTAAATAAACAATTTATTTTACAAGTCTTGGCCTACTATGTTGGCAAGACAGTAAAAAGCAAAGCAGCAAATGAGTCTCAATAAAACTAAAGGATAACTACACTCTAAAGCACAAACTCTATTATCCTTAATTAATCTGACTAGTAGCTAAAAAGAAGTCACCTTTAGTCCTCTAACAAATCACGGCTATTTGTATTTCAAGAGCACCCTCCCCCTTTTTTTTTTTCTCTTAAATTTTAATTTTTTTAAATAGGTCAACTTGGAGTCTTAGCATGATGACTTTTTTCAAGCCCTAAAGCTACAGCTAAAAAACATTACCCTGCAGAGTTCCCAGCTTTCAGGTCTGGGGACATTGTGATGTCTCCAGCAAGATTTCTGATCTGGACAATCAAGGGACCGAGGCTGCAGGGCACAACATACTGTACCACACACCATGCTGTACAATTGCTCTGTAATTAGAAGCAGACCAACCAAATACAAATAGAATCAAATTGGTTTCTTTTAAATTCTCTTATGAACTGCCAGAGAAGCACTGGTTTTGAATTTCACTTATCAAAATGGCTCTGGATTAAATTAAAAAAAAAAAAAAAAAAAAAGAGCAAGACAAAATTTACAGTAGTAAAAGAATTAGAGGGAAGACACTAATGATGAGTTTCAGCTGAACTCCAAAGACTCTATGTCATTTCACTTTAGTTTATAATGATAGCCCCAAATTCTATCTTCGAGCATTCTTGGCAAACAAGCAGCTTTAGATATGAGACCAAAGGCAAATAATTACTAACCTTTCTACATTGACTGGCTTGTCAAATTTAAATAGAATATAATCCCCAGCAACTGGTGTGACAGCCCAGAAAAAATCTTCCCCTACGTAGGTTTTTTCTAGCGTATGCCCTTGGTAGACTTTTAAAGATGTCGAAACCTCTGCAGGTGGATTCACGTGGATTTTATGCAGTAATGGTTTCAGGAAGTCTTTATCCTAATTGAAAGAAAGACAAACATCATGCTGGTCAGACAACCTGTTTTATTATGTTCTTTTCCCAAGTGGTTACACTTAAAACAAACACTTGCATCAAATGGAAAGCAAATGCATTACTCATTTTTGGGTGTATCAGATCTTGTACTGATTAATAAGATGAAGATGAACATGCCATTAAAGTAAAAAAAATTAGAAAAAATATCCCCTAGCAAAAATCCACAAAAATAAGCTGAGATTAGCACTTCTTATACTTGATAGTAACCAGTTTAAATCAGATTTCATTCCAACTGGAGTAACATACAACATGCTTGAAAATGCCAGACAACAAGAAAATGCCTGTTTTCGCAAAGGCTACAAAGTTTTTCATTTAATCAGCCTGCTCTGGAAAGGAAGGAAAATTTTAGCTACTAACTGTGAGTTTCTGGATCTTCCCTGCTAGAGAGGAGTGGAGGCCAACATGCTGGAAAAGAGAAGGCCTGAAGCGTATCCGTAGGTTAGATTTCTGCCGATCACAATGTTTTGAAATGGGGGGGGGGGGGGGTAAAAAAAAAAAAAAAATCACATTAGTAAAACCAACACAAGGTTGCTGAGTTTTTAGTGCAAGTATGTGATGTTACGTGAACCAAAAAGACTCAGCAAGAACCCAGACCTATTTATCCAGTTGTTCTTGTTTTCATTCCAGAAATCTACCAAGACTGCTGTGCAAACATAACACTGTTCAAGGTTCTCGCATGGAACCTGTTGATGCAGTCTTTCAGCAAGGCTGCTACTTGAGAAACGAAGGACCAAAATTCAAAGTTTATTCCCCATTCGGAACCTTCCCTATAACTGCTATCCAAGCAGTGGCATTCTGCAGAGCCTCAGTGTGGGTTATGTGAATGAGTTTATTTTAGAACTGTTACACACAGAAACTAACTAGACTTTTGCTTTTCATCCTACTGCATCCATCTCCAAAACCTGAAACAATAACAGTTATAACGCCTCTGAGAACTGTCTCTCCAAAGTTCTTTTTGAGATTAAAATCTTGGTAGGAAGGAAGAAAAACTCTTTCAGGACATGCAGTAACCATACTACACAGTAAGTATGCTAGCCTCCAGCTCACCAAAACCAACTCATTCACCATCATGAAAACATTTTAGAAGCTTTATAATAAAAACGAACTTACAGCATCTTTCTCAGGGTTACACACTTTCACCCAGAGGATATGGTCCAGCAGCCAATCAATAGGTTTCTCCTTATAAAACATAAATATGAACTCTACAATAAGAGTGATATCTGGAGACTGGAACATTTTACCTGTGATGACATTAAGAATAACTGGAGTTATTTTAGATTAAAGATAACATTGTCTTTTGAAATCAGTGAGACAATAGATAAGTTTGTGCCAAGACAAGAAACGTTAGCAATGAACAACTTGAAATCTCAATGTTATTAAAAGCTCCATACCTTTCAGCTATGCAAAACTAAGTAAAACAACTATTCAAACAAGAACTCGTAATATATCTTCCTGCTATCAAAATATTCAATGTATACTACAACACAGTCTCCTTAAGAACAGAAACTGTCAGTCTGCAAAAATGGAGAAAGAAGAGTTATGGATTCGTGCCTATTATTGTCCATGCCATGTGTAAGCTTCAAGCATCTGAGACAAGGAGCTGTCAACAAGTGTTATCTGCCCAGTCACACAAGTGCAGCTTTTGCAGGTACAAAAAGCAGAGATGGAACACCTACCACTAACTCCAGATCCTTCTCTGTAGAAAAATCAAAGGGAAAGAAGGAAGCTACTAGAACATAACCAGAGACAACACAACTTATAAAAAAAAGAGATATCACATAGCAGCGATGGGAGTTTTTTCTGAAATGCATAGGCCATCAGCAAACTCATACTGATGGCATTTCCAACTAGCCACACTCAAAGCAGTCAGCTGCCTAGTAGAAAGTCTAAGTCCCTCCCACAAACAGAAACTGCAGAACTTCTTCACTGAGTACTGCCATGACTTTGGGAACATGACTGTTCCAAAACAGCACACTGCTGGGTCAAGTACAGACGGACTTCTGGGTGGCGCTGTGCTACAGGATTCTTGGGGACCCTGCAAACTGTGAGGCTTAAAGGAGGCCTTGGCAAAAGAAGAAAACTTACCGTTGATGAAGAAAGTCTATTTACTATCAACAAGAGCAACTTTTTCCACGGCTGTGGAATGCACTTCACTGCCAGTCCAGGTGTCTGAAGAGAAAGGTGGCTAATCTACTGGGCTATTTTGTTAAACTGAATGCAGCACTTAAGAAAGGTGCCTTATATGAAGACACTGCTACCAGGACCAACACGTAACTGGGAGTGGGGCAGCCCAAGGCTGAAGACAGACTGACAACAAGTGCTTGTACCAGGACTGAGGGCCAGCTAAACTCCCAAAGGCCGTTCCAGAGTTGAGGGCAAATTCAGAAAACATCATGAGGTTTGCAGATTAAGTCTGCCTCTACTTTGCTAGGCTACAATGGAGGAGGCAAGGGAGAAAGACATTACATGATAATGAATCTCTTAGGAGGACACTGGCCGAAGTGATTCAGTTCTGCAGATGGTGCTGAGATGTGGGCAGTGCTGACTTAGACAGGCATGGGCTCTTGGGGCACGTGTGCACTAATGGGTCAGAGTCCAATAGAAGCTCTTCTCCAATGCAAGTCTTCTGTCTGTCCACACTTGGGAGTTCTGTACAACACACTAACACACAGCACTTAGGCATCTGAAATGTTTTTTTTCCACTTGTAATCTATGCGGCCTTCATAGGCTTTTTAAATAACAAGTTCCACAAGTGGTAGAGGTCCTCATATTTTCTCCTTCTACATTTAGGAAGAACAGCTGGAGTAGACATCAAGAACAGGTTCCTCTCTGAGGTGGCAAAAACACTTCCCACACTCAACAGAAAACAGGATTTGGTTCTCATCTACAAGAGGACAAAATTCTTTGGAAAGGCCACTAAGGAGCTGTATAGTCTGGATGACAAACAAATAGGGAACAACGTTTTATATGAAGCTTAAACACCATCAGCAGTGTAGCACTCTACTTGAGCAGGTGGCTGAGCGGAAATGAAGAAGTGGTGCAAGCAGTCTACCTTATTTAGCCATTAAGGAGGACATTCGCATTTATATAAACAGAAGAGAGGATATACCTGAAGTATCACCCTGAACCAGTACTACACAGAAGGCAAAAAGTTTTCTAGTCTTAACTGACTAGGAACATACATTTCCACTGTGAATGTTCATGCAGACTATCACTCAGAGCCAGACGTTCAGTTACTTCTCTTTCTTTTGAGGCTCAATGAAGTCTGTAATTCATAGAAGATTATCTCAAGGCAGGATAAAAAAAAACCAAGGAGCTGGGAGTTCAAATCCCTGTTGTAACAGGGATGGAAAACTTCTCTACTGAAACAAGTGACTGAGCCTAGCACATTATACAACATCTCAGAGTAGATATAGAATGCCAGGTTGTTAGCTTACATATATTAGCAACGAGGACATTTTTAAGGGAAAGCATCAAAGTTGCAGGAGCCCTGTTACGTGTGCTCTGACACTGCCAGGTATCAGACTCTTACATGTGGAGATTTGCTTTGAAAATGCCAGGATCTCGAATTGCAAGATCCTTTATTTCCTCAAAAAGAGGATAGATACCTAGGAGATGACCCAAAGGGCCTCGTACTTTCCAGAAAACAGGTCTGATGCGATCTCATTCCCTTATGACTTGTATGAAATTGTATAAGAACGTAGCCAATGAAATAATACTTATTTTGGAATTCTGAAATGAGTTTGGAGAGGTCTGAGCAAGGCTACACCATGATGCAGTGCAATAAACACGGAAGAAGCATCTGACAGAAGTCCCAATTATTTCATCTGTTGGAATGATGCTATATTCATAAAGCAGACCATTCACACAGTGGGGTGGAGAAGTAAACGTGGTAAGACATTAACTGACCTGACATTGCTAAATCAAAGTTGTCCCTTACAAAAACCTTTAATTTGGCTGTTTATAAAGCAAAAACATTGACATCACTTGTAGGTGCTTGTTGCAATTAGGTCCTCAAATAGGCATTCTCCACTTGAAAATATTCTGTAACTAAAATTTGAAGCTCCCACTAAACAAGGGACAACTCCTACTAAACTAGGGACAACTGCAAAGCTTTCTTCTTTAAAGACATAAGAAAGATGTTACAATTTTTATTAGTGTATTGTTACTATTTACACACTATATTGTTGTCATATTGTTTAACATTATTTGTGGAAGTAAATATTTAAAAATGGGTAGGAAACAATCATATGATTTGTACAATGTTGTGTAAAATATTCATGCAGAATAACAGCTCTTTCAGCTTGTCACACTTCCAACTAAATGGGCTCCCAATTTTCCTGGTGATTCATCTCTGCCTACTGCTTTCAATAGCATAGGGCAGAAGAGAAAAATATGAGAAACCCTAATCAAACACCAGCTGAAAAATGGGACTAATCAGATGTTTCTGGGATGTTTATGGGACTGAAACCATCATTTCTAGATGACACCTGCTGAAGTAGTCTGTCAGTCATGCCTGCTTCCATAGGAAGTGGACCTTTCCATGTGGTGTCAGAGAGATGCGCAATATCATGAGACTCAGAAGACAAAACCATCCCCACATTATTGCTCCAATCTCAGTGGAGACAGACTGACTGAAGAGAGAGTTTATCCTCTTCCGGGAGGCATACACAGTCATGCTGCTCTGGAATCCTTTTCTTCTACCCAAGGACAGAGCAATAGAACCACACTGTACATTTTTTCCTTTGACTAGCTCATCTTCTGAAGAGCACAAGGATTACAGTCTACAGTTGTCATCTATGGTGAAAAGACACTCACAGACCACGTCACTCAAAACCTGAACATTAAGGTACAGGATCCTTACCTACAATGAAATAAGCAGAGAACAAGACTAAAGGTAAGAGTAGGAATTTACTCTTTTCCCTAATTTAAGTTACCCTAATTTTACCTAAAATAGAAACAGGATAGGAACAAACAAATTATTTACTTCCATATGGCAAACTTGTCTAGGCCCAGAGGCACTTTCCTCTAGGCCTGGATTGGCATACCACTGTCAACCATGCAGTCAACCACCCCTGACTCAGGGAATAATCTAGTTAACATGGTGATGTCACAGGATGCACTGGGGCAGGGGGAGGGAAAACAAACAACAACCCAAACCCTAATACATCCAACTGCAACCAGTCAGAGTATGCTAGGTAAGCATCAGCTGGCTGTACCTGCACTAGCATCTTCAGACCCAACTGGCCTCTCTACATTACACTGCCCAGCATCGTGGAAGGGTTCAACAGTGCAGGCAAAGCCTTCTCACTTGAATTCGTAATGATCACTGGAGCGAAGATGGACAGGCAACACCCTGCTCCTGAGACAAGCCCTCGTCTTCCTTCAGTAACCAAGGACAGACATCCACACACTACTGGCTGAAATGCTGTCACCACCTTCCACACCCAGCTTGGCACAGCTCTGCCCCAGCTCCTTGCCCTTCAGTATAACACAGCATCCCTCATCTGCCAATTCTGTCTCAGGACACCATCAGCACAGCACAGCAGTACTGCCATGGATCAATGTCCCCCTTTTCTCCCCCAGAAGACTTCCTACCCCAGCTCAAAAACAGGCCTCTGCAGTGAAACCCCTGGTAAAACAGGTCTTCAAAGCTCTGGACCCCTGACTGTCCACAGCTACTCCTTGTGATGGAAAGCAGCCCAGTACAACTCCTACTCCACAGATCCGACACCCCAGCCCCTCTGAATCCAAATCAGCCAAGCCCTTGCCTAGCCTCTCCTGAGCAAGGGTAGCAGCAGCCTGGCTTCCCTAGGGCATAGCCATAGCCCAAAAACAAGAAGCAGCATTTGCCAAGGTCCTGCAGTCCCGTGGCCCCCCATGTAGCTGCAGGTGAGGAAAGCACTGTGAGCCATGGAGCTGCCATCCAAATCCAGCCTACAAAAAGACACTTGGCCATCCCCAATATGCAGTCAAAAGTCATCAAGCCAAAGAGACCTAAGCAAAAACTGCAGTCAACACGCACTGCCTCAAACCAAAATACAATGTGAAAGAATTGAAGCAATGGCTCATCTTGCACCATGTTCATGCACTTCGTACAGTGCAGGAGAACAGACATAAATCGAGGAGACTCTGCTGACAAAATTTCAGAGGTTTCAGATTCTGAGTGCATACAACCTACCCTTGGAAAGAAACTTCAAAATCCAAAATAATTAAGACTCAAAGGTAAAATCTTGCTCCATAAATCCCTAGAGATTTACAAAATGTGGAAGATTTCCTCCATATTATTTATCTATATTGATAAAAATGAGAGCCAGGACTGAAAAAAAAGATATTGTGGAACATTTTCTGCTATTTATTGTGCCCTGCCAAGACTTCTATCTGATTTTCAGTCCATTTAAATGCTATCCTTAATGAACTATTCTGGCCCTCTCAGTATTTTGCTGGCAAGTACAAGACACACACAAAACAGAAAACTTTGTTTTCTACAGTTCTCTGAACTGCAAATATCTAAATCATTCATTTTCATTCTTCCGCATAAACATCATTAAATGTACTCAGTCTACACCAACAATAATTTTATACCTACAAGCACATATTCTAACTATAGTTGAAGTCTTTCAACGCTTTCCCTATTAATGATATGCAAATTACTGGCATTAAAACCAGAACCTCTTTGAAGTTATTTAAATCTCAAATATTTGACTTGATCTACTCTTCTCCAAACTTCAACTATGTGGACAGCTTGAGCAAAACTGTAATCAGAACAACTTAAATAATCAGAACAACAGGCCTTAAAACATCAGGGCACAGTAAGATTCAGAGGAACTGTATAAGACAACCAAAAGGCTGATTTCAGACCGCTCCATTAAAGAAGTTCGTGACAGCTGGCATTATAGCTACAACGCAGAGTATTCCAGATCCTCTGGAAAACACTTCAGCTCACAGGCAGTCGGAAGACAAATCAGTACTTCTCATAAAAGCTAGTAGGACTTTCCTGTGTTGTGTCAGGGACCACAGTGCAAACCAGAATCCAGAAGAGCAAAAGATGCGTCTCCTTCCACAGAACTTCTTAGGGAAACAGCACACATCTCACCCATTATTTATTAGATACTTGACAGCTCTTAAGACTATGCTTCCAGTATTAAAAAAAAAACCAAAGGAAGCAACTTCTGCTTTGTGGTAGAGGTGACAGAATTCTATCATCCTGCTGTCAGCCTAAACAGTTGCATTTGCCACTTCCTCATGTAGTACTTGCATAAATTAGATTTTCAGTTCAGAAATACACTATGACAAAAAACATTTTTACCTAGTGAACTCGCAAGCTGATACACATTTCCAATAGCTTACAGCAAATCAGCTACACGCCTCCTTTTTAGAGATTATTTCTAAATCAGTGGCATCTAGGCAATTCAGTGATCTATTTTCTCTCTTAAGACATCGACACATAAAACTTATCCCCAGTTACAAACAGCTACTTTTTCTCTTCTCCATAGCTATCCACATTACCAAATTACCATAGTATCAGTCTGCATCAAGATCCATAAAGGGATAGCAGAGATGAGGCAAATCTACATTACTTGCATAAAATTTCTATGCAATATATGGTTATAGCACACCAATGTGTCTCAAAGCCAGAAGTTTTAGTCACTTTCATGAGTACTGATTTTTCTCTCAAAACGTAAAAGCAGGAAAAGTAGCTAAATTGGGAGAAAAAATCTAATTTCATTTTCTAGGTAGAAAAGCAACATTAAGATGTGTAGCCATAGCTAAATGCATCTGGCATTCTACTGATATCATCTAATTAAAAGGAGGCAAGCAAATATGATACAGGGAACAAAGAACAGGGACGCAAGCATCAGGAGCTAACAACTAAATTTAACTACAACTACTTTCAGAGCCTACACTGAAAAAAAGTACATAGTGAAGAAAAACAACTTTAAAATATTTTTAACAGTTGTGCAGGTGATTAAGCCAAATCTCAGTATTTGATGCTGGTATTCAATCAGCCTCTGCAGCCACAGAATTGCAGAGAATTGCAAGGGGCTCCCCAACAGAAAAGACAGATCTATTTAGGGCAAAAGCTCCAGTAAATTATTTAAACGCTTATTTCTCCAGAATAGGCAGCTCCATTTCCTGTTTCTCCCTTCCACCTCTGAGGCCACAAAACCAGTCCCAGAACTATTTCAGCAACAGTGCATCTCTGTTGGTAGCCCAAGGCAACCAAGCAGATCGGTTACGTGGTGGTCAGATAGGTAAGGAGACTTCCCTCTGCCTGTTTTCCTCTCCTCTCCATTGTTTCTATAGGTTAGGCTGACAGGCAGATGTACGAAGTACATTTTGTACATTTTGTACCCTAACATAGCATATTTAGGAGATAACTACTGTTTTCCTTTCTACTCAGTGAATCTCTGAGACCCTGAAATTCAGGGAACTATTGCCTCAGCAGCACACCTGATGCTGAGCTAGAAACAGGATAGTACTCGCCATTCACACAGTGCCAACATGCTCAGTTCTCAGTGCTACCATTATGGGTCACTGAGCTAAAAATGAAGCCGTTCTCTGGAAAGTAGATCCAAAGTAAAAACAGGAGAACAACAAGAATTTCCAAGAGAATGACAGAACTCAGGACTGCACTTTATCTGTTACATGTAGGATTTTCTTCCTGTTCTGAGCTCAACTTACAGCCTTTGGAATCATTTATGTTGACTACATACAGGAATCTCCACAGTCTGACTTAGCTTTTGATTTTTCTTTGCATATCTCCAGCTTAGCGCTTTTAAACAGATTATGACACATCACTGCAGTAATGAAATAACCTTTTGATTTGTAAAATCCCTTCAAAACTTCTCTTTTATTGCTTTTCTGTTAAGTCTAATACCTCTCAATAAAAACGTTAGTGTAAGAGCAAAGAACCATAAAGTAATTTCAACAGGACCCTGGTAGTCAATTCACAACAGCCCGAGATGCTGCATTAGCTTCTCTCACTGTTGTTCACTGCAAATGACAGATAGACTCAAACTATACCTAAGAAGGAGCAGACTGTCACAACTTCTTGATGGAGTAGAAAGGTAGCAACAGAACAGGCTTTGCAACCAACACAAACTGATGCCTGCTGATTCTTGGAAATTTTGGCACAGACACCAACGAAGTTGTTTTAGGTGGAGTTAGTCTGCGTGCTTTTTTTCTTTTACTTCAGTCAGTTGTGTTTTAATGACATTTTTGTTTTAATGGCAGCTAAATTAAAAGTCATTCCTTGCAGTTCGACTGTTAGTATTTTTATAAATTAATTAACTTTTGGTTATAAAAATGCCCTCTTTTCCAACAGTTTGAGTTTGCCTCAGTCATACAAAAGCGCATGAAACAACTGGGAAAAAAAAACAACCAACCCATGATTTAAACCAGAGTTCCTAAAAAAGCCAATTAATTTCTACTTCTTGGTCTATTTCCAGCACAAAGAAGATCGCTTTGAAATCAGATCACTATTAATTCACGGAGTCTGAGGATGAATGGGTTCTTTCGAACTACTAAATTGAACTTTTTCTTACCAATGAAACCCAGCTGAGAAAATTCTAGAATCATCCAATCTTCAGAAGCGAGCTGAAGTGCAAAATTTTTTATTGTGCTGAAATAATTCTGCTTGACAACGATGTCATCTTCAAGCTAGAGGAAGGCAGCAGCGATATCAACATAAATTAAAAAAAAGCACTAGCAAAGCAATAGGAAAAAGTACAGCTAGGAAATACTGATTTGTAATATATTGCTAACACATAGCCATATATTTCTAATGCAAGAGCTGCTATAAAACCTAGATGCTATAGCCAAGAATAACTATTGTAGGGATCACAGTCTGTCTAGTTGTGGAGCACTAATGCAGAATCTTTCTGTAGTAAGAATCCACAAATGTAACTCAACTTATTACTTCAGAACATTGCTTTTCTAGCTTCTCTCTTCAGAGAAAAATCATCCATGAAATAAAGTTAGACTAAGTGACATCATCAGTAGAACAAGTAGAATATCTGTATTATTTGTACACAAACGTGACTTTCTTTACTCATGCACCTAACATCACCGAAAGAATTTCTCCTCTGAGACAAGAAGCTAAGAGACACGTCTACAGAGGTGGGATCCATTTCACCTGGCTTTAGCTGTCCAACAGAAGAACATATTCCAAACTAATCATCTAGTCTGGGCAGCAGAACCACCAAGATGTGGCGCTACAATGCCTTTAACTCATATTAAGTGCAGGCCACTGCTTTAAGGATCCTGCTTCTGCTGTACTTTCTCCCTGTGCATTTATGCTCCCCCCCCTTGTTCTGGTACTAGTATTTGCGCGACTGCCTAGTTTCAAAAAGACTGTCTCATGTTATTGGCTGTGCAGCTTCCAGGAGAGCTGAGTCTCCAACAGCTCTCCGAGAGCAGTCAGCATAGCTTTGTAAAAACTAGATGAGATGAGTGGGGCTTTATACCCAAAGGACACAGTCCCAAACTCTAAATATAGATCATAAGCGCAGTTACTCACTAAGTCTGCAATACCTGTAGGTAAGGTTTCTACTTCAAAGCAGCAAGACACGATAGGAACAATTCTGAGCTAAATTAAATTTAAGAAGAATTGCTTAACTCTGTTCTTGAAAACCTCTTTAAAAAAGAAAAAAGAAAAGTCTAGCAACACATTGAAAACATATCTATACAACACAGTCATATTAAAGTGATGCTGCACTTGCCTTCAAAAGAAAGTAAAAATGGATTTTAGCTCAATTTCCACTCAAAACTATGCTGGTGCTTTTTGCCTAGATGACTCAACAGTAACTCATTTGGGGGACAAGGAAAAAACAGTAGTTAAGCTGTCTGCATTCCTTCACTTTTTTTACTAAGCATCTTAAGATAAAGTAAGTTTCACAGGACAAATTACTTTCTACTTCAGAGACTGTCCTCCGCAAATTACTTCCCCATATACCATAACCTCCATACTTAATGCCCTCCTTCAACTATGGAATCAAGTTATCTCTGTTCTGCGTAGGTCCTTCTGATGTGTCCAACAGCATAATTTCTGGAGACGCATTTGAAAACATCTCAAAACAAAGAAGAGAAATTTACCTGAATGTAATAAACCCCCTTCTTCTGGGCATACATCATAAGAAAACAATAATCCAAGTTTTGTTTTGTTCTCCATCTGAAATTAAATTAAAAGCTTAAGGATTATGAAAGAAGTTATTTCAGTACACACTGGCAATGCAAAGTAAATCTCACTATGAAGAATGACGCATATTAGTGAAATGTTAGGACAGCTGCTTTTGGCATTGTTCGCTCAGGAAATCCTCTGTCTGAAAAAAAGGAACAAAGCTTTTGCCTTATGGTTTAATACAGACATAAAACTGCTTTAACTTGAATCTGATTTTGTGAAAACTA